TACGAAAATATGTTTACTGCAATAAATAACAAAGATATAACTCCAATATTCTTATGATAAGAAATAATGTGTACGTTCACATGTCAGAGACACAGTTATCATAATCGGCACACGGTAAACAGTGTTCTGAATGTACCTACTTTCAAAATTATTCTATTATTTTATTGAACATATTTATTTTACTTTCTTTTGCAAATACTGAAATAGTTCTTTTATATTTCACTAACAAAAAACTTAATAAATTATACATAACAGGAATAGGTGTAATATGATTTTGTTTTCGATATCTGAAATTTGATTTATTTTTTTCATTCAGCTATTATTCTTTCGTATCCTAGTAGTAAAATGTTAAAACACAGTTATACATAAATTAAGAAAGATAAAAGATAAAACAGTTTTATAGATTTTCTTTATAAAAATAATACTTTTATATGCTATAAAATACAAGAATATATCTATTAATTGTCAAATACTTCTTGTATACATTAATAAGCAAGTACTTTGTCATTTTCTAAATCAACAGATTGCTTTGCATCTTCCTGGTTTCTCATGGCAGCCGTAACTGTGTTCTTCATTAGCATTGCCACTGTCATAGGTCCTACACCACCAGGAACTGGTGTGATATGTCCAGCGACTTCCTTCACGCTATTGTAATCCACGTCTCCCACCAGGCGATACTTGCCGTCTGCTGTCTTTACCCTGGTGATTCCCACATCGATTACGCAAGCGCCTGGCTTTATCATTTCTTTGGTTATCAGCCCGGGAACTCCGGCAGCTACTACAATCAGATCTGCCAGCTTTGTGAATTTTTCTAATTCTGTGTGAGGCGTATGGCGATGGCAGATTGTTGTTGTCATATCTAGTGCACCCGTTTCAGCTAAAAATGAAAAATACACAATTTTAGTTTAAAAAATAAATGATTATATTATAAATATTATAAATTCTTGAACATTGCTATTATTGTAAATATTAAAATATAAATCTGAATTTTTTGTAAAAAAAGAAAATACAAATTGACAAAAAAAAAAGAATAAAAAGCAAACTAAATTATTATGAAATAACTTCAGTTGTAAGAATGTAGATAGTGCTGTAAGTAGGTCATGTGAGAGGTCAAGGAAGATAGAATACATAAATTTATTGCTGGCTACTGATATGACTCTATGTTAGAACGAGGAAGTTGCTATTAAATTGATAAATTAATTACCTTTTCCATCCGCATGAAGTAACAGTGCAATAGGCAGTCCGACATGTTTTGACCTACCTACAACCACAGCATTTTTTCCAAAAGTTTCAATTTTAGTCCTAAGTACTAATTCTTTGACAGCTAAGGCAGTGGCTGGTACAATGCTGCTGTTGTCCAGTGTCAGATTACCGATGTTTGCCAAGTGAAAACCATCTACATCTTTTTTAGGAATTATTGCTTGACATATTTCTTTCTCATTTATGCTTTTTGGCAGTGGTAATTGTACCAGAACACCATCAACAGATGGATCTTTATTGAGATTATCAATTTCCTTCATAAGATCTGCTTGTGTTATGTTTTCTCCCAGATGAATGGTATAACTCTCAATTCCTGATTAATAAAAAAATTTAGTTAATATGTGAGCTACTGATAAATGTAGTTATTTATTTATTAGAAATAAAAATAAAATTACCTACTAATTTTGCTGCTTTCATTTTCCTACCAATATAGGCTTTACTAGAGGGATGATTCCCTACTAATATTGCCACCAGCTTTGGCCTCTTCTTCCCAGCATTTGTACAAGTATCCACAACAATTTTTAGTTCTTCTTGAATCTCTTCTGCTATTCTTTTCCCATCAATTATTACTGCTTCTTGCCTATAAATAACATTCAAAATTCAAATTTAATTGTTGAATTTTAATTAAAAATTATATATATATATCATCACTAGTAGTAAATATTTTTTACACTGAAAAATCACAGTTTATTATTATTATATTTTGTTTAATAAATTAAAGCAATTATACACACACAAGTTTAAAGAAAGAAGATGTTTCTACACTTACCGGATTTTTGACAGGTGCAGTTTCCTCGCAAACTTTTGCGAGACGACGGAGACGACGTTCCTCCAGGAGAACATTGCTGTTGTTGCTTCGAGTTCACTTATTATTCTGAAGCGTGCTACCGCATGCCGCTGAGCAAGGGACAGAAGTAGGCGAATGATTCCGGATAGAAGACTTGTGCAATCCCTATGCGTCTGCGATAATATATGTGCGTTGTGTTCTAACAAACAACCGTCATAAAAACGACAAACAGTTCGCAGGGGGTCGATAGTACGTGCTGACGTATTTGTCCGTCTTGTGAAATCGATCGACCTCTAACCGAAACCGCGAGTGAAAGGCGAACGATCAAAGCACTTGCTCAACCAGTTTCGCCTTTTTCTGACCGGGAGAACTATGTAGAAAAATAGCTGATTAGGTCTTGGAATGGGACAGCTTATTAGAGAGTCCATATTAGCGATCAGCGACAGGTAACAATGACGTTAAGTACGGAATTGACGTTATCTGTAGAGAGATATTTTTGGTAAAATAATTTCAATAAAAAATTAAAGATGGTGCCACGAATCCGCGGTACACGTGTGCATAGGTAATTAGAGATATACGAGATGCCTTATAAGAGAATCGTATAATTGTATAAATATAAAATAATATAATTTTCTTATTATTTCTTATTTATTGTAAAATTTCCCTTATATATTTATCTTTTCTCTTGTATATTATAAAATTTGTTTCAATAATTTATGCAAAATAATTTTTTATATATCAACAAGTTATAGCATCAGAATATCCTTATTGAATTTAAGATAACTATTAATTACATTTTAATTTTATTAATTTTTTTCTTAATTGCTTTTAAAATCTTTGATATTAATATTGTAGCACACTTTATCTCCTTAGAAAATATTATAAAAATTCTATGGACATGGTTGTCGTATAATATTTTTTGCTCGTAAAATAAAAATTGCTTATTAAATGATTAATTATTTGCAAATAATGCTTTTTTAATTAATAATAATTTCAAATAGTAAAAAATAATAAGTAATCAATTAAATAATAACAGAGTTACGGTTGCATTAATATTGAGCTAGAAGGTCACATATTAAAAAGACGCGATGAAAGGCTGAGCGAAATAATGTAATAGACGTTGCAGCGATTACGTAAAATTATCGGTAACTTACGAGCCCGGAAAAGAGGTGCGCGCCTCGGCGACGAAGTAATATCACGTTGGAACTGTATTAAGAGTATGAAATATGACTAAGCGTACTACTAGGCGTGCCGGTCATATTATTACCCCGATCCATCGTGTCGTAACTACTGTAACGTGTGGCCCGCATAGTAAATATTAAACACCAGACCCGCGATATTCGATTATACGCTCGTATATCGCGAAATTTGATGGACACACCGCGTGATGCGGAACCTGTCCGACATGATATGTGAAGAGTCAAAATATCTGAATAATATATAAGTCGTCTAAAATATAAGTGGAAATTTTTCAGACAAAAGCAGGAAAAACTCGAGAAGATTTTGTAATAAAAATATTGTTAATAGAAATCTATTATTATCCACTGATAGATCAATGAAACGTTCATATCGCAATTTCGCAGCGATGCATTGTCACTATTTTGTCGTAAATCTAATCTAATTTGAGTCTATCGGTTATCACCAAGTATTTCGGTATCCAGAATACTGGTAAATTTTAGCAGTTCCCTACAGTGGCCGAATATTTAGTCGGCCGCAAGGATTGGACGCATAGGACGCATACCTTTCGCGATATTATAAGCCGAGCTTGAGCTTCCTCGACGTGCGACCATTGATCAAATAGTTAGTCTCAGTTGCGACCGGAGTGCTGGTATGTGTGAATGCGCGTTTGTTGCTAAATCTTGCTGTCAAAATTTCGGTGCACGAGTAAATCGATTGCAGTACTCTAGCTAAAATGCCTAGCGTTGCCATGGAAAATATTTCTAGTATTTTCGATGACGCGGAAAAAGACAATATGTCACACGATACATTCAAACAAATATATCGTTAGTGTGTGTTGTAATTATATATATTTAAAATGTTATACCTGTATAGATTTGATATATTACATAAAAATATAAATATCTTTTTAACCATTTTAAAAATGGGAAAGAACATTTTTTAATTGTGCTATATGATCTCTCAGTCGGAAAAAATTTATATTCTTATTATCTCTTTTTATGCAATTATTTAAAGGTTTTATCAAATTTATAATAATATCAAAATACTGACATATATTAAATACTAATTTGAGTCTTTATTTCGTGCAGCTAGTAATTTGTTTCGTTTGAAAATAATTATTTTACTGCTTCAAAGGATAATAAAGTGTGACCAATGTCGGTATTAAAATTGAGCATAAGCTCTAGAAAGTAGAATATTAATACACGTATAAAAAATATAATGTAAATTATGAAACGTACGCTCTCTCGTAAATATCTGGTTTTATATTTTATCCAGACAAGAGAGAGAAGGGCGAGAGAAGAGAGAGTACAACGAGTATAACTATGTGACGCAGCTCAGCTATTTTAGTCGTTAGTGATTAATTCTAGCGAGTTCTTTTCGCGTGTGTCCGCGTGCTGCTTGAATTTCCTAAATTCACGGGCTGGCTTTAAGCCTGTCAGAATTCCTCGGCACTCAACATTTTAACAATTCGGTACTCGCCATAACTACGCAACTATGATAATTATGCGACCCCTTTAGTAGCGTCATTTCCTGTAAATGGGTCTCCATGATTTTCGTGTTTTCGTCATTTCTTCATTTTCCGCACTATGTAAGAGCGTCACTTTTCTCTCTTTTTTTTTTTTTTCATTTAGGAGTAGAATTACTCGAGATATTTCAGACGGCGGCGACACGATTGGTGAACCGCGTGCGGACTGCATTATGCAAAAAAATATGCGCCCGTTGAACGAATAAATATGTATTCCTGTCTCGTACGTGCCACCCCTCGCCTTTTGTCCTCTTCCCCTTCGCCCGGGAGCTTCGCGACAGCGCTCATACATAATTTATCGTCCGAAGAATCCGCGCGCTCTCAGCGATAAAACAGTTACTATAATCGGTATACATCGTTATCGCTATCGACGCGACACAGCAGGCGAGGCTTGCATAAGATTCGTGTCTACGAAATTCGGCTCTCATCCCCGTATCTTTTATCTATACTCCTACTTTTCAAGCGGAAAATATGCTTTGTCTTTCTATAAATTTTTAATGCGCAAAAAATACAAATTTTTGACAGCTGTTTATATAAAATTTATGGATATCCGGACAGCAAGCGAGATTTGCATAAGCTTGTGTCTTTCAAATTCAGCTCTCATCCCCGTATCTTATTTTTATCTATACAAAGTGTCCTGCTCCTACTATCAATTTTTCTATAATTTGATAATCGAAGAACTAAAAATTATTAGACGTTTATATTAAAATAAAAAAAAAAGAAAAGCTTTGAAAAAAATATGCTTAAGACATCATATGATAAAAGTGACACATCTCTGTGTCATCATTTTGTCATTTGTTGCAATCGTTTGCCGATAATGTTATCTCTATTTTTATTCTACACGTATATGGGGGGTCTTGATAAACTGCAAAGAATCGTATAATATAAATGAATTTGTTTGCGATATCGTCTGTAACGAAGTGATGACACAATACTGGTCGCTGGCATCTCTAAAAACAGCGGAGATGTCGACAGACCGTTGACGTCAGTAGGTCATACATCGGCTTGTCGCGAGTCAACTTTTGCAATGAATATTCGTTCGCGTTCGCAGACAACAATGACAGCCGACATCGTGGTTATTTTGACTGAAATTGTGCGTGACGATCGCAGTATCGTTGCAGCACGTGCAGCGTTTGCTGCTGGTTTTTATTATCGCGCCTCGACTCGATAACGCATCCCGCGTGTTTAATTACGCAAATATCCGTTTACAGACGTAAATTGAAAAATTTTTTCGAAACTTTATGACGATACTTCAATAACTAATGTCTAAATTTAGACGCCACGTATTCTTAAATTCCTTTCGATCACTTTTCGCGCTGTCTATATAAAATCTCTTTCTGCGGTTATTACGCGCGCCGTTTGACTTCTGACACTATTTCCAATCTCGCGCGCGAGTTAATGAGGCAACGGCTTATTACGGAATTCCACCGGTCATTGATTGCCACTTGCAGTGCGCAGTTAATTAAGCTTTTAATTTAATGTAAGCGGCGGCGGCGGCGGCGGCACGGCACGGTGGCGGGCGCGTAAATTGTGCGATTTCTCATCGAGAATGTCGGACGTGTTTCGCGATTCCTGTGGAAATCTGGATTTGCGGCTGACGATTTCCATCAGAATCTAGACTGGCGGCTGACCGCATTTACGGTATTACTACTTGCCGGAAACAGAGATTCGCCGGACCTCGGGAGTCCTCCCTGTTACCGCTATTGAGATATGTGTAACGCACACGAGTATTACTTAAAAAATTATGCAATTAATTAAATGTGGAATTGTGTAGAAATCGTTCAATTCTTCTCTGTCTATCGTGAATGTGTTTGATGCTCAATAAAATTCGGAATTAATTTCAGTTGAATTAATTCGATTTTAAATAGATGCTATAATACATAAAACAATTTTTATAATTAAATAAATTTTTAATAAATATGAATATGTAAATATATTGCATAAAATTCACCGAGTTTTTTCCATTGATGAAAATACGCGGATACCTTTGCAGGTATCACGTGAAGCATTTTGATATGTTGCTCATATTAGTTACATGATATCAATATAATAACTGCGCGCACCATGGACATAGTCCACGTTTAAAGAAAACAATGTGTCACAGGCGATGGTAAATAAAAAGGATGTAAAACACGACATAGCGATGCACATAGCACGACGCTGTGTAGTCTGCAAACGATAAACACAACTTTGTTGGACAAATTCGAATATTGCAAACTATCTGTCGCTCGTGTTGGCTTGCTGAAAAATGCGTTGCAGAAAATCAATATATGTCTTCAATTAAGCGATACGTAAGATAAACCGATAAAGTGGAAAGAAAGTCTTGAAAGAATAAGCCAAAAAATTTTTTTCATAAAATTTAAGAACAGCTTAAAAAAAAAAGAAAACTTTCGCAATTCTCGTAATTGAACACTCTTCGACTATGCCACTTGCGAGCTTGAGTTACTTATATATGGCATTTATTATAGA